ATATCAATTTTCTACACCCAAAATAATAATTTTGGAACTCAAAATGTTTTTCCTCTTCCTCTTCCCTTCTTGGCCGAAACTCTTATCTCAAAAGGAGAAGAAAATGCATTTTATAAATTAAAGGGAATAAAGCATAAACCTTTTACATTTGCAAAATGTCAAAAGGACCCTTATTATGATGTGTGGTGGGAGACAAAGTCCCACATGTTGGGGAAATTAATGGAAACTTGGATGAATTGAGAGTTGTGTATAACACTTTCAGATTGAATATTTTGGTTGTTCACTCCAAAATTCAATCGCATAAAACTCGAAGGTATCAAGAGCGAGTATGAATTGTTGTCAAATTTCCGAACCAAATTCCGACCATGGCTTGCGGGAATTTATAAACTTGCGGTGAGAGGGAGAAGACAACATCGCGTCTATTACCCAAAGCACGTAATTCTTCGCGCAAAACTCCTTTGAAAATCAGCGCTATCCGTAACGAATTTTTCCTTTAAAGGAAATTCGAAAATACAAATTCAAATGAATTTTTTAACATAACACTTTGCCCAAAATATATAATTTTCAAGCCCAGCCACAATTTCCACATATGACCAAAACGGACGAGATTCTTGTCTTTCTTTGATCTCTTCCATGTTGTTGCATTCAGACAATCTTGGATATTTACATTCTCGGACATCATAGTACCAGTGAACCCATTTGAGCCACTGCGACATCCAGTTACGGAGCACAATACGCTCATTGCATCCATCAATGAAAAGCTTGTTAGGAGCTCCTTTCCCTCCGGAGATATGGATTGAGAGGCATACCTCGTCCAATCTATAGGCAATTACATTCGTTGATACTATACTTTACGTTGGACAGCCTTAATGCGCTCCCATTTATGGCTCTGCCCCTTGGACCCGCAGGGGCTGCCACCCCTTGAACACTGCTCGGGGGCGCTGCCCTCGAACCCCCGCCAAGGGGGCGCTGCCCCCTTGGAACCCCTGATGTAACGGGCTTTTTATCGTAACAAACTCAATAAAGCGTGCACTCTGCACCACCAAACTTCTTTGATGATTATTAGGATACTATTGGTCATAGTTTTTCCAATTACACTAAAATATATAACATTCCTCCCCTATTTTAGTGTAATCCTTGATTAACTAAACAAATTCATAGCAAACAACAAACTTATGCATAAATGAAATATCGTGACGAGTGAATTTCATCTTAGTACATTACACATTTCAAATATTCGAATATCAGGGTATCACTAAGGATTGAACCCTTGCTATTCATTTTGAATACATGAAGATAATATACACAAAAGTTTACATACTTTAATGTTCTGACTTGACACTATTATTTACTAGCCTCGTGTCCTAATCCTTCATAAGCATATCGAAGCGAAGTCTCTACTTCTTGAAGCGGCTAAACTTCATGCTCATATAGGTAGTCATCTTTATTCTTGCACCTGCATATGCAATTTTTCAAAAGAACTATTAAGAAGACCCACTTCATCCTCCTAAACTTACAGGTATGAACACATACTTCGGGATAATATACTTAATGTGTTCCAATTTCCAGATGTTAAGATTTTCCACATTGAATTCAGCATTAATAATGTCTTATTATATGGGAATTGGAATTCTTACCATGAGAAATTTAGATAGACTTCAATCCAATCCCTATAGGCGATCTCTGCACAAGGTTTCTACTTAACCCTTTTGTTAAATGATCAGCCAAATTTTGTCCAGTCCTTACAAACTCCACTCATATCACACCATGCATGATGAGCTCTTGAACCATGATGTGTCTCACACCTAAGTGTCTTGACTTCCCATTGTAAACTTGACTATAAGCCTTAGCCAAGGTAGCTTCACTATCACACCAGATATGGGAGATATTGGTTTTGGCCACAATGGAATGTCATATATTGAATTTCTTAGCCATTCTGCTTCTTTACTGACTGCCGCCAAAGCCACAAACTCAGACTCCATTGTAGAGTTAGTTATGCAAGTTTGTTTCTTTGATGCCCAACCAATTGCTCCTCTACCGAGAAGGAATATCCATCCACTTGTGGAAGAGTGCTCTTCCATATTAGTTATCCAACTTGCATCCGAGTATCCTTCCAAAACTGAAGGAAAGTCGGTGTAAGTTAAACCATAATTCATGGTTCCCTCTAAGTATTTAAATACTCGGTTAATAGCTTTCTAATGATGCGAACTAGGATTGCTAGTATACTACTAAGTTTTCCAACCGCATATGCTATGTCTGGCCTAATACTAATCATAGCATACATCAAACATCCAATAGCTCGTGAGTATTCTAGTTGAGATACTGCAACACCTTTATTATATTAGGAAAGAGATTTAATTTAGACTTGGATCAATAGGAGTACTGACCGGAGACAAATCTTTAATATTAAACTTCTTCAAAATCTTCTCAATATAATGTGATTGAGAAATAGAAATTTCATTATTATTACGCTTGATCCTTATACCTAGGATCACTTCAGCCTTCCCCATGTCTTTCATGGCAAACCTAGATGACAAAAATTCCTTGGTGTTATCAACTTGGCTTTGGTTAGTACCAAATATTAACATGTCATCTACATATAAGCAAATTATAACTCCTTGTCTAGAAGCATCAAATCTGTTATATACACACTTATCTGCTTGGTTTAATTCAAAACCATTTGACAAAACGACGTCATCAAATTTTTGATGCCATTGTTTTGGTGCTTGCTTTAGACCATAAAGAGATTTCACCAACTTACAAACCTTATTTTCGTTCCCAGGCATGACAAAACCTTCAGGCTGTTTCATGTAAATCTCTTCATCTAATTCACCATTTAAGAATGCAGTTTTTACATCCATTTGGTGAATTACCAAGTTATTATGTATAGCTCCAAGAGCTAATAACAACCTAATCGTAGAAATTCTAACAACAGGTGCATAGGTATCAAAGAAATCAATGCCTTCCTTTTGTCTGAAACCTTGGATGACCAATCTGGCTTTGAACTTATCTATGCTTCCATCAACCTTCATTTTCCTTTTGAAGATCCATTTACATCCTAGAGGTTTGCACCCAGGAGGTAAATTTGTCAGTTTTAATGTATTATTTTGTATGATGGAGTCAATTTCATCTTGAATTGCTTCCTTCCAAAATGCAACATCCCTTGAAGCCATAGCTTCACTAAATGTCTTTGGATCTTTCTCAATATTGAAACAATATTGATATTGAAAATCAATCTCTTTTCTCGTTCCTTCCATCAGGTAGAGTTGAAAATCATCACCAAAAGACTTAGCTTTTCTTGTTCTTGTACTTTTCCTTACTTCAATGTTTGTGGAAGGCACAGTTTGAGAGACCTTTGAAGTAGGGGTCATATCCTTTGGTCTGTATATAGAAGTAAATCTTTCTTCATCAAGAATCGCATCTCTTGACTCCATAATTGTGTTTACAGATACAAAGTCATTAGGTTCTATAACATAGAACCTATACGCCTTGGAATGCATAACATATCCTATTGTATTTAAGTGCCCTAGTGGCAATCAAATACCTATGTAACTGTACACTTTATCATGAATGAAAGGCTCTGAAGTATGTTTTATATCTCGTGTAACATAACATAGCTTCAGTCCATAGACGATAGCGCTTCAGTAACATAGATGAGGACTACGATGTTCTGATTATGAGACTGCTACTTCTTGACAAAGGCTATGTCTAAAATATCTCTAGTCGCACTTTATGATAATACGGACGTCATAATGTATTAAGACTAGTACGTACGAGATAAGATAGTTGCGTCTCATAGACTATAGGTATTGTGATATCTTAATTTGTACGTAGGTGCATATTATATCGATAATATATATGTGACTGGATTGACCCATCTTGAGAATACTGCATGGATCTATAGTAATGTGTTTATTAGTATTCTCAATTCGACTTTTCTATAACTATCCTCAGATTTGAAGTTATTACATTCTCTGATATGTGGGGCCGTATGCTTTGATTCATAACTAATTCTATCTGAAATACTGGTAGACGTACAGTTATGCGTTGGGTATGCCGCTAAGCATATTTGGAGATGTGAATAACAGATACAGGATCTGTCCCTTTTACTGTATAGAAGTATAATGTCAATGGGCCCACTGAATAGTAGGACTTGGTAAAGTGCATGGCCATGCCCAGATATGTCCCTATCCAGAGACTGATAAATATCTGATCCCTACCAGTCTACTTGAGTTTCAGTAATAGCTCATTTAACTATACAAGGATACACATTCCATGCCTTGTGTTAAATCATGACATTTAGGACAGAAGGATAATAGTTATAGAACGTCTTGTGTCGTAGAAGGTATTGATGAGATGAACGTCTTTTTCATAATCTACGGGTAATAATGTGTTGCTAGATACCGCTTATTATCTATGGTATTAATTTATATTAATATCATTGCTAGTGTTATGGATACCTAAAGGGTCACACACTTAAGACTTGTTAGGGAGTAGTATACTACACTAGTGGGAGTAATAGTAAATATATAGTTGTGATAATTTTATATATATATGTATTTCGAAAATACATATGTATTTTAAAATTATATTTTGTTTGTGTCATTTTAATTATATGATAATTATATTTTGACAAAACAATTTTTATTATATATATATATATATATATATATATATAAAATAATATATATATATATATATATAATATATATATATATATATATATATATATATGATGGCTGAGTTTCTAGAGAGAAGGAGGAGCGGCGATAATGTATTTCCTTATTACCGGCGACGAGATCGTCGATTTACGCAGCCTAATCTTAGAATTCTACACCCACAAAGCTCGAAGAGATCTATTGTTCACCGACACACTTATCTTAAGAATAGAGAAGCTAGTTTCGCAGACCGAGGTAGAAGATGGCCATTCCGCGATGCTGAATCTAAGGATAAGAAAGAGTCTTACGTTTTCAGTGGTTCTAGATTAGTTTTCAATAGCCCTGAAGCTCCATCATCTGATTTTAAAACCAGCCGAAACCTTAGATTCAAATTCAAAACCCAATCGAAGGTATTTGAGCTTTTTCACTCATTCTACAATAACAATTTCTGCATCTCGGATTATGGAAGTAGAAAGTTTCATTTATGGTTCGATTTTGACACCATCAAATGGATCTTGGATTCAATGTCCCTCCTTTCCAAACGGAAATGGTGGAAAACTTCACTGACTGAGGATAATAGAAGAATAGAGCTCAGCCTGGGTTCAAATTACAAAGGATACTACATCAAGATCTTAGAGAGAAGGAGAGAGGGTAAGAGGTTTTTAATCATTCCCTTTGACTCAAACAAGGATGGACCGAAACTTTTCATCAGGGCACTCTCCTCCTTTATCCACAGAGCTTTTGTATCAAAGCCAACAGTGGATGGCAAGGTTCAAATATCCTCAAATTCTCTCACAGAACTCAAAGAACCCCAGGCTCTTTTCGAGACTGCTCTCTTGGTAAATGGCACACCAACACTGCCAAATTCAAAGGAGAATGAGGACCTAGATTTTCATGCCCCTTTGATAGAGGGCAGAGATGCAGAGGGACAATTGGTGTTATATAAGGGAGAAACAAAAAATTGCAACACCTTTAACGATTTGTTTCCACCACTATCAAAAAGTTTCTTATCTCCTTTTGCATCCTCATTTGTACCTCTTTCATATAACAAGTTTGCTGTTCTACACAAGGATATGGACCGGGAGTCATTACGCTTGGAGGATGAGGATCCTTTTTCAAAGCTGAATGACCAAAGCTTGGTTTTATACCTTAATGCAGTGGAAGATCACACAAAGGAAAGGGAAGGGCCCATTCTCTACACACATTCAGAGGGAGAGGACTTAGTTTTCATTGACTCTATGCTTAAGCCTCTTCAGATTGACCTCTCAAGATTCCCCAAGCACCCTTTATATCTTCACAAGGAACTCAAGGGAAGAAAGACTTATTCCCCTTCACAAATTGTGACACGAAGCAAGGCCAAATTACTAGCACAAGGTAGAAGGATCACACCAATAGGATGGGAAGAGGAGCAAGACCTAGCTGATCCCCTGTCTCATGAGGATGAGGTAATAAGTTTTTTCAAGCTCTGCTGTCCAAACAAAAAAGAAGATCCTATCCCTCCTAAAAAGCCTATGACCAAAAGTCAGAAAAAGAAGTTGAAAAAGAAAAAGAAACATAGAGAGGTATCTGATATGGGTTATGATGATGAAGATTTCTTTGATATATAATATTTTTGCTGATTTGTAGCGGCTGTTCTGGTGGTTTTTCTGTATAGTTTGCTCCATTTAGATTGGTTAGTTTTTTAGATGTTTTCATGAACTCAAATCAGCTCTCACCATGAATTTCTACTAAGAGTTGTGGTGTCTTATTCTCCACTTTACATTCTAAAATCAGACCTTAGACTTGAGCTTTACAAGTAAGCCCCTACTTCCCTTTTGGAGCAAATCCAGATGCAATTTAGCACCATTTTAGGTGTCCTTGATGTCACTGGACGTCTGGACTTTCACCAAGAAAGCATGGGATTGAAGATCGAGGAATGGTTTGGGTATGATAGTTGGGACTGCAAGCTGTGCATTTGGAACAAGGCAGGAAATTTACTTCAAAAGCGTAATGGCAAAAACGATGCAGGGGGACCTCAGCTATTGGAACACAACTCTAGGTCTTCTCTATAGATTTTTGCAAGCTATATGTTAGGAAACAGGGAGGGAAGAGTGTTCGGGCAAGGAACTGCATAGGGACTGCATAAATTTTAGTTTGTTCTCCTACCTAATGAGGGTTGGGATAAACAAGATACTCTAAATGAAGCACTGCATTGAGTTTGGGTTCAAGGTGTGTTTTGTATTATGTTGTGGCTTCGGGTAATTTGGAGCCTCTTTGTGAGAAGGCAGGAAGTCTTGGGTGAGTGGCTGGCAGATTTTATTGGTATGTTGCCTCTTGGAAATGGAAAGATACAGATTAGGAAACTTTAAGAGGAACAAGACATTTTTACTGGGCTACGAGGAAGAAGTTTGAGTCAGTAGCCAGCTACCCTTATATGTTGTACTGAATTTGGTCTTTTGTTTTAGCCCCTTTGTCTTTTGTTTTGGCCTTTTGTTGGGGTCGGCCACCCCCTCCATTTGTACTTATTTTTTCCCTTGAATAAAATCTTTTGTGTGGTAACACTATCAATTGAGAGCAAAGAGTTCGAAATTTTAGCTGAAGGGCAGAGTATAAGAATTTCAGAATCCAAATCAGGTAAAACTCGATTTTTAACAATCTCTTGGGCTATTGCACACTGGTTGGTTGATACTCTTACCAGGCGTGATTTCTCAAATGAAAATTGGGAAATATCTAGATACGATGGGGATTTTTCTGTCAAAGTTTCTTGGGATTCAAATCGTTTTGGACATTTTGCACGCCTAGTGTCAAAAACAGGGTCTTCGCCTAATCAAATTATCATTCCTGCTGGTTTCTATTTAGAAGGGCTAAAACTTTTCAGTAAGGGCCTATCTAAACTGTTGAGGAACTCGAATGGGTTAAGTAATCACCTGCCACAGCTACTGCCCATTGATTTTCAAGAAGGTCTTGGGTTGGTTAAAGTTTGCAATGATGAGGGGTGGAGATGCTACCATGGAGTTCAATCTGCTGCTATATGTGATGAAGAACGGAATAATTATGAAAGTAGGCTAGTTGTTGACCTCACTATGGAGAAAGAGATGGAATGTTTGCAAAGGCCCAAACCATTGGCAAAGGTTCCTTTAGACCAGGGCTGTCTAGATATATTTCATCAAGTTATCAAGGATAATATTAACCTCTTCAAGAAAGCAATTGCTAGCAAACAGTTTTTGGATGCTCTCAATAAAGGACAGATTGTAACGCCCCGAAAATAGGCCTATCAGAATTAATTAATTGATAATTAATTAATTATTGAGGAGGACCCAAAAATAAGTAAATTCTAAAGTTTGTCAATAATTAATAAAAATTATATCGTTGTGTAGAGTTTGACTATCTGACCCCAATGGTTCAATCGGATTTCAATTTGGAGAAAGTTGGACCAAAATGTGTACCCCAACTAGGACAAAAATTAGTCCCAATCAGGGACTACATACCAAACGGCGCCCTGTTCAATTACGCCGATTCCAAAATACGAATCACCGCTCAATCACGGAAGCTGCAAACCTGTGTCTTCTTCTTCTTCACTGGCCTATTTAAGGAGAGCAAATTCTCCCATTTCTCCACCAAAATCTATAATTCTTCATCCTATTCTGTTGTTCTGAGAGAGGAGAATACACTGGTGCTGTCAGCTCTGTGAGAAGTCGCCGGAGCAGTGAGATAGAGTCGCCGGAAGTTTCGCCGGAAAATCTTCAAAACCTCCATTTTGCTTCAAGGTAAGCCCGTAGATATATCTAATGACTAGAATGTTCATATAGGTCGTTTCTACGTTCATAAATGGTTATTCGGTTGAGTTTTGTGTTTGACATGTTTGAAGAACCAAGAATCATGAACCTTAAATTTGATGTTAAAAATATGTTTTAATAATTCTAATATGATCTATGAACCTTGGAGAACATCTCTATATAGTTTAATTGAAGTTCGGTGACTAAAAATGGTTTTCCCGAAAAATGGACCGAGGTTGAAGACGAATGAACAGTGGCTGAAAATCCACAGAGTGAATTGATCCTCTTCATTGGATCGATCATCTGGGAGTTTTTCTTCTAGTTTGATCGATCCAGAGGGCTGGATCGATCCTCCGAAACTCTGGTCCGAAAATTTGTCTGAAATTGCTATTTTTTGAGCTCTAAAATCCTATTTTTGATACCAATTGATTATGATTATTATAAAAATGACTTTGCACAATAAAAAATGATGTTTTTAAAAAATTAAAACATTATGTGATGCGTGACGGTAAGTGATGGATACCCGGGAATGGGGGTATCCAGCCCAGCAGGAAGACGGCCAAGCCTAACTTCGTCAAGGCCCACTTGACGGAACCAGGACAAATGACCAACAAAGAGCGCCTCGGCAGCACTGCGCACTCGGCCCCGGCAGGGTTGGTCATCCTCGGAGCAACCACGGCCGGCCCTCCATCCAGAGGCTTCCGAAGGCAAGTCAGGCGCTCGGCCTCGGCCACGAGCAGCGGCAGACCAGATCTAGGCGAGGGAGCCGGCCTGGTCAGGATCAAGGGGCCCACGATTAGACTCCTGCCATGCCTCTAGAAGAGTTGCTATAGCCACCCTACTTGTAACCTACTTTGTGTAGCAGTCCTAGGGTTAATTATGTGGTTGGACGCCGCCAGTGAACAACCCAATCTTAGTGGGCCCAGACCGTTGGATTACGGACCAACGGTCGGAACCCTTGCTGTAACTTGTATATAAACCTCTTCCCTTCTAAGGGAAGGGGGACTTACGTTCTAAGTATTATTCTTACTAGCACATTATTACTCTCAATTCACTTGACCCCTCATACTTTGTGCGCTCGTACTTAGTCCGATACTCGTCCGCCTAGTTACCTAGGCCCCCGGGTTCCATAACCCAACATTGGTGCTCTCGTTGAGAGTGTCGAACACATCAAGCGTGCTCCAAAGGAAAATGGTTGCGTCAAGGAGAGTTACCAGGTCGTCTACCGCCAATCTCGGTGGTGGTCTCAGGATGACCGTAATAGCGCCGACCGGCCAAATCTCGGTGGTGGACATCAGCCTCAATGATGTCGCCAGCCAAAATACCACTGACCTGCGTCATCGCATTCCCAAGCGGCGAACGACGAACCCTGGGGGGTCTCAGGCGCCGACGCAGCAGGTGCCCACCCAGGGCGCTGGCGTTCTAACCCAGCCTTCTCCCAACGGGCTTGTGTGTGGGGGAGGTATGGTGTTGCCCGGTGATTTCAACTCACCATTCTTCCAATTCGGGGAGACCTCTGGTGCGAGGGCCCCAGGTCCAGACCCTAGCGGTTTCTGGGCCATGATGAGGGCGATGATGCTCAATCAGCCCATGACCGGTTTCCACATGCCGGTCACGATGCCACAGCCGATGTTCCAACCTGACGGGCATCGTGAGGTCCAGCAAAACGTGGCGGAAAGTGTAGAGCTTTTTGCCCAACACCTGAAGAATCTAATGATGGACTCCCGCCTGAATCCTTTGGCCGGGGGACCCGAGAACAAGGAGTTGAACCGATCCCAGCAGCGAGACAACGACAAGGGCCCGGAGCGTAGGCCCAACAAGAAGCAAGCCAACCGTCGAGACAAGGAAACGGCGAGCAAACGTCGTGAGCCCTTGAAGGAAGGACAGGGTGAGAGTGAGTCGCACGTATCCGTGTTCAGCCGGATGCGAGTGCCGGTCACGGAGCGGCTGTACGGCCGACGGAATGCCTTCCTGCAGAACGAAGTAGGGAAGATCAGGACGCCTTGCGAGGAACAGTGTGACCGACACAAAGAGGTCCACCCGGAAAGGCAAAATTCCCGGGCCGAGCAACCCGTTCAACATCCGATTCTGAGAGCGCCGCAAGGGACGCCTATCGCGATGGACGGGGACATGGGCAGACCTGGGGACGAACGCATCGATCTCCTCTTGCAAAGACTGGGCGCCCTGGAGAGGAGGAACGGGGCGGGACAGGTTGCCGAACCCATGTTCAGACTTCGTTCTCCTTTCTCCGAAAGGATCCTTAGGGCACCACTGCCGAGCAGCTTTCAGATGCCGCCCGTACCGAGGTATGACGGGACCACAGATCCGCAGGAGCATTTCAACCGATACCAAACCCTCATGAACGTGGTGACGTTCTCCGAGGAAGTCCTTTGCAGGTCGTTCCCCGCCACTCTCGACGGGTTGGCATCTGAGTGGTTCAATGAGCTGCCTGAGGGGAAGATCGACTCATGGGAGGATTTGGCACGAAGGTTCCTGGTCCATTTTTCCGGGAACAGGAAGAATAAATTACATTTTTCACATCTCCTATCGGTTAGGCAACGACCTGACGAGCCGCTGAGGGAATTCCTGGCGAGGTGGAAGCTGGAGACCACCAGAGTTTACGGAGCGGATGACAAAACCAGGTTATCTACCTTCCATTTGGTCTTACGCTCAGGTGACTTCTCCAAGCGCCTAGCCTTGGAAAAGCCGAGGGAGTATTCCATCGCGCTGGCCATGGCAGAGGATGAAGCCGAAGCAGAGGAGCTGGAGGCAAATAAGAAAAAGGAGGAAGCTAGAAGGCTTGGTTCTATCGCGACTGCGGTGAAGCCCATGCCAAGGAAGGTAACCATCGATGAGCGACCACATTTGCCAGTCGGACACCGCTTCCGGAAGGGCAGAGACCCTCGTGACCGGCGATCGCACGGGAAGGACATATATGAAGAAGGAGGCGAGGACAGGAGACCTTATCCTCCCAGAGGTCCCAAGTTGTTGTTCCCTGATGAGCTCACGCCGCTTACACATCCCGTAAGCACCATCCTAGATTTCGCCGAGCATCAGGGCTTGGTGGAGTACGATCCGCGATTCCCCCCGATTTGCACTGTCGGAGAGGGCCCTTACTGCAGGTTCCACAGAGCGGCCGGTCATGACACAGACGCGTGTAAGGTCCTCAAGAGGGAGATCGAGAACCTGATCCAGGCAGGATATCTGCGACAATTCGTCAAGAAGAAGAACACATGGCGCAAGGATGATGGGAAGAAGAACGGAGACAACCGAGGGAAGAAACCGTCGGGAACTCAGCAGAAGAAGAGGAAGGAGATAGGTCTCCCGAGCGATGAAGAAGAAGAAGACAACCCTAGACAGAAGGGGGTCGAGGAGAATAGGATGATCTACGGTGGCAACATCGGAGGGGATAGTGCCGAGCAAATAAAGAAGTGGGTACACTCGGCCTACGTCGGAGATGTTTTCAGCGCACCTGGACCGTCGAAAATCACGAAGACAGAGCCCCTCCTGTTTGGTCCCAAGGACCTGCCTGAGATTCCATCGCCCCACAGAGACGCCTTGGTCGTCAGGTGTGAGATCAACGAGGTGGTAATCCACCGATCCTACGTTGACAATGGGAGCTCGGTGAACATCATGTATGTAAGGACATTTGAGGAGCTGGGATTGAAGAAGGAACTCTTGAAGAGAGTAAGGACTCCCTTGTCCGGATTCACAGGGGACATCATCGATTCAGAAGGCCTGGTCGAGGTGATGGTCACCTTCGGTGATGGAGAACACAAGAGGACGATCCCGGTCGAATTTTTGGTGGTACGACTTCTGGGATCCCATAATCTGATCTTGGGTCGGCCTGCACTGGAAGATCTCGACTCCGTGACATCGGTGAAGTATTTGAGCATGAAAGTCCCTACCGATTCAGGAGTAGGGGTGTGCAGAGGAAACCAGAAACTCGCCCGACTCTGCTACCAGAAGCAAACCAAGAAGATGGACGCCCAGGATCTCAAGGTGGACAGTATTGCCACGACACTTTTGAAGGAAGAAGAAGGACGTCCCCGAGCCGAGCCAGCCGAAGATACAGAAGATGTGGTGATCATGGAGGAGCAGCAGGAGAAGAAGATCAAGCTCGGTATTAACATTAGTGCCAAACTTCGATCAAAAATCATACAGGTACTCATGGAGAATTTTGTGATCTTTGCATGGAGTGTCGAGGATATGCTGGGAGTTAGCAAATCCTTGATCACCCACCGCCTCGCGGTCGGATCGGAGGCAGAGCCCGTAAAGCAGAGAAGGCGGCACTTGAGCAAAGACCGGAGAGATTTCGTGAAGAAGGAGGTGGACATGCTCCAAGCAGCCGGGCATGTCAAGGAGATCAAATACCCCACCTGGCTGGCCAACGTTGTGCTGGCACCAAAGGGGCAGACGTTCAGGATGTGTGTGGATTACACTGACCTGAACCGAGCTTGTCCTATGGACCCTTTCCCTTTGCCCAACATTGATCAAATGATTGACGAAACGGCCGGGTGCGAGGTCATGTCTTTCATGGATGCGTTCAGAGGATATCACCAAGTGTTCATGCACGACGAAGATGCCGAGAAGACGGCGTTTTTCACCCCAGAGGGGGTGTATTGCTATTTGGTGATGGCATTCGGGCTGAAGAACAGCGGAGCCACGTATACCAGGATGGTCAGCCGAGTGTTCCACTCGGTCTTGGGAAAGACGATGGCAGCATATGTGTACGACATGATCGTCAAGAGCAAGCAGGCTTCCGACCATGCGGAGGATCTATCCCAGGTTTTTTCTATTATGCGCAAGTTCAATTTACGTCTTAACCCCAAAAAATGTACATTTGGTGTAGAAGGTGGAAAGTTCTTAGGATATCTCGTAAGCCGGCGAGGTATTGAGCCCAACCCCGAGAAGGTCAAGGCGATCCTGGACATGGAG